TATAGATCCTCTTTCCAAGAAATTGAAGCAATGGTCAAGCAGATATTAATGATATTAAGCTTCAGTGAGACCAAGCAGTCAGCACTGACACCAGAAGAGCATTCGCCTCGTGCTGTGATGGGTTGGCATTCAGCTGTAAAATTTGCCTTGTATTGATTTGACTCAGAAGCTGGCAAAATTTCAGCTTGATCAAGCCAAACCTTCAGCCAGGAGCAAAATTGCTGTGTTCATTACTCAAGCAAGTATGGATGGAGCACAGAACAACACACCTTGCTTTCATTCACCTTAGTGAGGTTGCATAGATACATCACAGACTCATCTTTCAAACATTTTCTCTGTTTGTCTTCAAGAGCTTTGTTGGTATAACTGTCAAACTCTCTGAAGCTCAGACATGATCAAAGTGTTGTACAGGATGAAGACTAAACCTCTCCAAATTCCCAGTTTTTCAAGCACACCTGTGATTGATCTAGATAATCCATTATTAATGCTGGTAATAATAAACATAATACTTTCAAGACAGCACAGGTGTTCACAAAAACAAATGTGGTAGTGTTAACACTAGGGTTTCCTCTCAGACCTCCACAGTAGTTTGGTCAGAATATTAGTTTTAATGATCACATAGCCTGATCTTTCCACCATCACTTCTTTGGTTTCTTCAATTTAAAGCTGGTCTTTAACAGGTGCTTTAGGTAGCAGAAATGCAGAGGCTGCTAAACTCCTTGCTGCTAAGTTTGGACTACATTCTGGTGATGACAGCATTTTCTTTAATACTTATCTTACAAAAGTGATTTGAGCTGCTTTTAAGGTCCAGGGAGCACATTAAACCTTTTATGAAGACATATAACGTGGTTTGTGTATTAAAGGATGACAATTCTTCACTACATTTTGTGGCTTTATGAAACAGAAACCCAGCTGTGCTAATACTGCTGAACTATTTCAGGAGCATTTAAAGATTTCAATAAACCTGTTGTCATTGCAACCAGAAAGAATAAATGATCTAATCTGCAAGAAACGTTTACAATAAAAAACAGAGGAGCATATGAACAAGGGTCCTCAGATTTGGATCAAGGCTGTCTCATTAGGAAAGGAAGGATATATGTAGTGGGCCATGCATCATTTATTCTCAACTCTTCCATATTTTTAATGGGATGGCAAAAGAAAGGTCAGATAAAATTGTGAAAACTTTTTTCAGGGCTTAGTTGTTGGTTTTCAACCTCTATTTTAACTTTTAAATTAAGATGTTTCTTGTGCCTGAGACAAGCTTGCGTTTCCATTTAGAAATCCAGCCCAGCATCTTATGCCCATAGAGACATGTGATCTCTGCACCCTGCAGAAAAGCAGTGCTTCCAAAAACAGAAATGAAAAGCAAAATTCATTCAGCTGCAGGCACAGAACAAAGACAGCAAACTGAAAGGCACAATAATAATACTGTTCCCATCTAAGGAAACACTGAAAGGTTATTTTTTTTTTAATTGACAATTTGGACTGTTTTAATGCATGGTTTATCAGGAGAGAGGAAGGTTGCATGTATTAAGAAATTAGAAAGCAGAGTCTGTTCCTGAATACAAAACACAAAACTATGCCAGATCCCTGTGTCCCTATAGTTTGGACATCTCATTATCAGACCAAAGTCAAATTGTTTGACTCTTTCCTAACTACCAATGGATGATGACACCAATTTACTGCTGGAAGGTGCAACATCCCACTGTGATTGTTTCTGTCTCTCCAAGCTGTGCCTCACAAGATATCCAAGAGGAGTTTAATCAGCTGCTGAAATTTAGCAAGCCATGCTCAACACTTTTTTTTTTTGTTTTTTACATTAACTACATACTGAAAATTTCTCAAGAATTTACTCAAAATGGGCAACATCTCAAACTTTGAGTCAGGGTTTTGGGATGGCATTTTTCTCCAGTAAATTTACTTTTATTTTTGAATTATGAGAAATAGCAATTTCATAGGCATAAAATCAAGCTGCACTTCAGAGCTTTGCTAGGCTGTATACTCCCTTCAGTCATTTAACTGAACAAAGGCATAATAGGCCTGGAAGGAATTGAAAATATTTCTCTTGCTGTATGTGGGAAAATTTGGAATATTCCTAGTAACAACTGCCAGATTTCTTTAGACTGTCTTAAAAATACCAGGTAGTGGCCATGAAATGAGCATTCTAAAATTCTTCAGCACTTTAAGTCCTAACAAATGGTGAGACTTCAGCTGTTATAAAAGTTTACAATCCCTTGACCAACTAGTTCTATTTTAATTCTGTAATACACCTCTGTCCAAAATACGTTCTTGCTTTCAAAGCAGGCATCTTTCAAAATAAGACAGGATCTTATTTTTTGCCCCAAGTAATCTGAATTATGTTAATGAAAACATAGTGCTATTTAAAAACAAATCAGGGCCAGTCATCCAGAAGACAACAGATTTTCAGACTCATTTCCATCACAGGCTTCATATACAGGGAAAATTCATTATTTACACAGACTTTTCACTGAGTGGGTGTCAGCGCTATTAATTGAGTCTCCAAGCAGTCACAGAACTCTATCCCTTTTGTGGCAGCACTTTAAGGTCATATTTGTAACACTCTCCATTTTGTAGAGAAGCACCTGCTTTCTTGCTTCTGTCGCTGGGGCAGAGCCCCTTGTTAGGGGCTGCCGGCATCCAAAGCATCTTTGTACAACACCCAGGTTGCCATCATGAGAAGTTGTTCGCTTTTTGTGCGGAGGCGGCACAATCGCGTTTCGCGCTTCAGCCGGTGCGCGTCCCTGCGCCCCTCCTCACATCAGCAGCTGCAGAATGCACGCTGACTGCTCGTCCTTTCAAATTAGCAACGTTGTCATGTTAACAAGGAGCAAAATAAAAAGCATCAAAGTAGCTCGCTGGAAGTCTCCCTTTAGTTTTAAATGTACCCTAAAAACCAGAAAGTGTCGCAACGCTATCGCTAAGAGTTGGCAAATGTTGGGATGTAACGCAGCGCATTGTCAGAAACCAGGCATTTGGGGACTTGGCAGAGAGGCAGGTCTGGGTAGCCATTCTGTTTCTCAACCTGCTGAATTTACAGCAAAGAGAAAAATACACTATGGAGACAATGTTCATCTTCACGACCCTTCAAGTCCATAATAAAGAAATTCTTACTAGAAGCTTCGAACAACTATCAAACTTTCCAACATGCAAGCTGTGTAAAGCATCCACAGTGGATGACTTCTGAAGGAGAGGGTGGAGAGCCAAATTCAGCACCCTTTTACAAAGATACCAACCTTGGCACAAGTAAATAAATGTAGCTTAAATCATGCCATAATTTACCAAGAAAAAAAAAGTTACAAATGTCTTTCCAAACTGGAAGAGACCTTTAAAGATCTCAAGCTCTAAGCATCAAAAATACTTTTCTGGGGAGGACAAAACAAACTGATATCAATAAAGGATTTTCATCCACCGCATTTGGCTCAATACAACACCTGCCTTTTTAGACTGTTTATGTAAGCTCTGGGACATAAGCTACTTGCAAAAGTCCACGGCATTATAAATGGTTTAAGTCAATTTCAGTGCTGGTTCACCTCAAAAAGCTGAAGGTCTTGTGTTCACGGAGATCTACTTCCTAAGTGGAATATGATTGGAGGTTTTCAAGATTTTGTTTTGCCTGGCTGGAAGATTTAGAATGCATATTATGAACAAAACAGCATGTTTGGAGGTGCCTTAAATCACTAATTCTAAAACAGCTTTTAGAGAAATAGTTGAAACTGTAGCAGCCTATAAGCAAATGAGCCAGTCACTCCACTTCCCACAAGTTATTGTCTTTTAAGCTGGTTAACATAGACACATAGTTTACATCAAAATTTACCGAGTTTACTGGAGCACAATAATTTCTCTCGGTTTATTAAAGTTCCATATCTTACGGATATGGATGGCTTTTCTCAGTTCTGTGTCACTTTTTCATAGAGATAGATTTACAAGCATGTGCATGCATAGGATCAAGGCCTTAAGCTGTCTTCTGTTTGAGAATCCAGTTAATATGATTTATTTCCCCTTTAGCTATCAGTACTGGAGAAATTTCTTTTTAAGGCAGATTAATCATAGTCTGTAGAATTATTATAGTGTCATAAATAGAGATGTCAGTTTTGTAGGCTCCTGCAGGAAGGTATATCTGCTCATCAGTGACTGAAACCAGCACATGCCTACCTGAGCGTAACAATATGCTTAGAAAGGCACATGAAGGCATCTCGGTTTCAAGGTGACCATATGAAAAGGCACCTTCAAGGAAAATGATGGGGGGAAACAACCCTCTCCGGGTCCTTAAAGAGCAGAAGGGAAAGCAGCAGCGACTCGAGAGTGCAGCCAGGGAAGAGGAGAGGCCGGAGAGCCTTGCTTCAAACGGGAAGGCAAAGGACAGCCGGGGACAGCATCTGCTGATGCCAGCTCGCAGCACTGAGTCCTCCCCCACCGCCGTGCCGGGGGCGGCGGCGGCGCAGCCCCGGTTCGGGAGGCCCGCAGACCCCGCCCGGCGCGGTGCCTCCCGCCAGCGCGGAGCAGGTGCGCGGAGCCGCCGGGGACATCGCCCGCACCGGCTCCGGGAAAGCGGCTCTGCGCCATCCTCCCGCGACAGCCCCGCTGGTCCCCTCCCGCACCATCCCCCACGGCTCCCTCCTTCTTTGCCTCCCTACATCCCTCCTTGTCTCCCCCCTCCTTGCTTCCCTCCCTGTCCACCGCCGCCGCCCGGCCGGGAAGGTCGCTGCCCGCAGACCCTGGCACTTTCCCCCGCGCCGAGAAGTAACGCAGCAGCCCGGCCGCGCCGCTCCGAGCAGGACGGGGACGAGGAGGTGATGGGGAGGTGATGGGGAGGTGATGGAGAGGTGATGGAGAGGTGATGGGGCGGGAGGTGGTGGGGAGGTGATGAGGAGGTGATGAGGAGGTGATGGAGAGATGGTGGGGCGGTGGTGGGGCAGTGATGGAGAGGTGATGGGGACCTGCCGCCCTGCCCCGCGGCGCTGCCGGCACCGCTCCCGTACCTGAGCGCCGCTCCCGCTCCTCCCGCTCCGCTCGGCCCCGCGGCGCCCCAGCCCCGCCCCCTGCGCGCGCAGCCGCCGCCGCCCGCTCCGCTCCAGAGCCCCGGCCGGCGGCGGGGGGCGCGGTCCCGGTGGCGGCGGGGGGCGCGGTCCCGGTGGCGGAGGAGGGCGCGGCACCCACCGCGCTGCCACTCCCGCACCGAGGATGCTCAAGAAGCGTCCGTAGGACACGAGCCCCCTCCCGTGCTTTGGGATGAGCCCGGACCTGATGCCCCGCTGTGGTCCCTTCCCACCCAACCCTTTCAGTGATGCTGCGGAGAGCAGTCAACGTTGGGAGTGTTGTCCCTCAGCCCGTCTTGAGGGCCAACAGCGTGTTGGGGGCTTTTTTATTCAGTTTTAGTCTTACGGCTAACTTGTGTTCCTCCGTCTCACGCAGAGGGTAAGTCTAGGAAGTGAAGCGGGTGTTTTAAAATACGGCTGCTACCAGTCAAACCACTGCTCAAGGAGTTCTCCAAACTTTGCAAAGTTCAGGAGATGACCTCATCAGGAGAAGTATCCTCATGGAAAGGGTTGTTAAGGATTGGAATGGGCTGCCCAGGGAGATGGTGAAGTCACTATCCCTGTAAATGTTCAAGAAATAACTGGGCTGGCATTAAGTGCCATGGTTTAGTTGACAAGGAGGTGATCAGTCAAATGTTGGGCTCCATGGTCTTGGAGATCTTTTCCAACCTAATTAATTCTGTGATTCTGTAGTTCATTCTGAGGAATTCCCTGCTGCTGCATGTGAACTGTCACAGTGGGCTCCTGCCCCTCCAGCAGCTGAACTTCCAGGGACCTCTCAGCTCTTTGGATGCAGCTTCAACAGCAGCACCAGGCCCAACGCAAAGCAGTGCCCACTGTCCTTCTGAGGCCCCATTCACAGCACAGCATCCCTCAGCCATGGCATGTGGAGCAGATGGCTTGCTCTCTTTGCCACACCTGCCCAAATGGGGCTGTCCTCTGTGCTCCATCCTCAGCATACAACCTGTGTCTCCAGGCAGAGGTGAAAATAATTTAACTGCCAAGTATAGTCATGCAGGTCCCTGCATAAATGGTTAAACTGCTAAATACAGTCTAACATATGGTTATATGGTGCTGGTATAAGGCAGCACCTTTATGTTTCTATCTCTGTCTTCAAGAAGAACCTTGCTGCACATTCCACCAATTCCTGCCTTAAACCAGACATTTTATGTGCAGAAGAGACTGCCAGGTATGTTTGATGGGAAGATAGGAAGGTTAAAATGAAGCAGGGGAAAAGGTCAAAGAGGCAAAGATGAGCCAGTAGAGATATTGAAGATCATTACAAACTAGGGTATTTCACCATGAGAGCAGAAAGAAGTAAGTATGTCAGGTTGGTACAGCAGTACCGCTCAAATATCTAAATTCCGTTAGATCAGAAGATCCGGTTTAGTAATCTGGCTAAGAGAAAACAAAAAGCCAGACAGAATCTGCATATGGGATTTAAAGAAAATATAGAAGGAAGAATTCTGCAACTGTATGCACCAGAAGAATTTCCTCTCATCACCACAGACAGCACCATGGGTCTTCGTCTGTTCAGAAATTGTGGATAAGCTTTGGACACTGTTGCTGTCAAATGCAGACCAAAAGTTGCAGTTTCATTATATAACTAAGAGAGAAAAGAGTTAGCTGTTCCCAGTCTCAGCGAATGTGAAACACTGTGGCATTGCATCTTTCAAGGTTATGTTAGTAGCCTGTATAGGGACTACTTAGGTTCAATGCTTTTGATTAAAAAGCAGGGCTGAGCATTAGCAACATGGAGCCCTTCGTACTCTGAGGGTTTCCATTACGTATTTTAAGCAAGACTTTTGCTTTCCTCTGCTTTCAGTTTTGCTGTCATCAAAATTACATTTCAATATGTTTTACAACAGGAAAAGACTGTGTATCTCCTGCTTAAGATATATAATTGAAAGGCGATCTGAATCACTGAAAAGCTGAGACTTTATACCAGTGTAATTGTAACAAGTTTAGTTGAACATAACAACCCAAATTCCTTGCTCTGGAGTTACATCAAGGATGAACTGCGTCACAGGCAGCTTGCTTCTTAGAATCAGAAAGACAGCTGATGAAAAGAGCAGGTGCAATTTAGAAATGGGTTTAGATTATATCCTATAACACACCACTTATATTACCTATATTATGCTCACTTAGATGACTAAGTTTCTTCTCTAATTACACTGGAGATGATTATGGCTGAGTATAATCTACCTAAGAATTATTAGACTGTCTACAGAATGATTACATACTGTCAACACAGAAATCCTTGATGCTTCCTTTCTGTGTAAGCTGTCATGAACTGTGTAAAACAGCAAGGATGAGTGGTTAGAGCACAGTACTGGGAATTGAGAGAGCCTGGGGTGTATGTTGTTCTGCCATAAGCTTGCTGCTTGGCTTCGGATAAATCTTGTAGCTTCACAGTAATTAAATTACCTCACACAAGAAATGTGGAGAGCATTTACTCAGAGCTGCATCTTTAAGATCTTTGAATGGAGATTGCTGTATAAACAGAAAACACAAAATGATAATAGTTAGGACAAAGCCACAATGCTTATTTATTGATTATTTCTTCTTTAAAAACATAACAGCAGAATGTATGGATTTTATAAATGTTTTTTCTCCTGTAAATGATTGGTTTCCAATGGGATGCAAAATCAAAGAAGAAGAGCAGGAAGGACACCTCTTTAGAAAAGAGAATTTCAAAGATTCTTTGTTTCATGTTTTATACGTGAAAGGAAGAGAACAAAATGTAGACTGCAATACATAGCTTAAGTTACAGTGGGTTTTTGGTTATCTTTAACCACCTCCTTAGCTGGAGATCAAAGCTGATTCAGCAGAACTAGTACCCCAAAATCATCGAGACACTGCAGTACTAGTCTTTGTTTCATCATTTCCAAAATACTTTCCTCTGCAAGTTCAAGACAGCAGCTGTGCAGGCATACAACTGATGGGACTATTTTTTTCAATAGACTGTGTTTAGGAGAGAACTTGACTTAATGTAGATGTAGAAAATGCCATCTAAGTGTTGAAATAATATTAATAGGCTTAAAATTTTAGATTTTGGTGGAAGGGTAGTACAGCCAAGAAAACCTTTTTGTTGGTATTCATTTTTGGCATTTCAGGGCACCATCTTAATCATGTTCTTTCTGGTGGAACACTGATTTGGAGTACCTAAAAATCAGATGAATTTGGGTTGTTCAGAAGAAATATACTTGATTGCTAAAGCAATCTAAGCCTACACCCATGAAGGCATCCCACTAAACTTAAATGATTCCTCTTACAGTGAGTTACAGGAAGAGCTCCTTATATACAGAAGGATAAGTAACACTGAAAACTCCTGTGAGACCCTAGATGATAGTTACATCACAGGCCAGTAAATTCAATTGATGTCATAGATGAACCTATAGAGCAAGAAATGTCAATGGCACTTGGGTATTTTTGGGGGTGTTTTTGTATAGTCAGAAGACTGGACCAGAGAATTGAGAGTAATTCTCCCACACTAAAGGTGGCTTCTATCTATAACAAAGAAAAAGGACAGCAGGTGCTGGATTATGATGTAAAATAAAGATGTCACTTGCTGAGCTCTGTGAATGTTCAAAATGAAAAAGATAGGAGAAATCCTGGCTGAAGCCTCTTTATCCAATTATACTGCTGAAGATTAATCTATGGAAATGGCTGCAGCTGTACATAAAATGTGACTGCACAATGGCAGGCTTAAATGCTGAGCTCTTACTCATGCACCACAGAAGGTGATTCATATCCCCATTACACAAGTGACATAACAGAACACGACTCCTCAGTGTGACAGGGACAGAGTGCTGCAGGGACTCCAGGCATGCTGCAGTCACTCTCAGTGTCCAGAAGCCTGTTAGGCACAACAGCACTGAACCACACAACCAAGCTGCTCCACCACGCAGTCAAAAAGGTTGCCTACTTCTGAAGTGATGTTGTATCAAGAAGTCATCAGTCTCTTGCTTTGTTTTCATAACTTTTGTCATTTTCCTTATTTTAATTCACAGAAATCTGGGACGGGATATTTATGTTTATAACTCTAAAATGTACCACGAGACACATTCATTATTATTGGCTTTTTTAATGTGTTACAATGCCATTTGTAACAATGAGGCTAAAGCACTTGACAGTAGCTAAAGACTCATAATAATAAATAGTCCAGGCAGGTGGATTGTCATCCTGAGAGGGTAAGACAGGAATGACAACAAAGCAGCAGAAAATACAGAGGTAACAGCATTACTTTCTCGTGCAATGAGGCTGTTTAATCTTCATCTATTGTTGGAACCCTGGAAACTGAGAAAAATGCAATAATCTATGCTTCATGGTTTTTGATTCTGCCTGTACAGAAATGCTTGTGTCAGACCGATGAACAGCAAAAGGCACTTCCCTTTGCAATAAATGTGCTACAGTAACTATGTTATTAAAATTATATTAAAATTCAGGCATAGTTTTTTTCTCAGCTTAGCATTGTTCATCAAATTGCAACAACGTGAACATCATAAGACAAAATACATTTTTGGTATGATCATTTTGGGTGATACAGGAGTTCATTAAAGTGACTGCACACCTGCAGCAGTTTCATGTCTTGTATTTGTTTGTCATGACTAAATAATCTATGTGTGAATTGCTGCAAATTAAATTAAATCAGAGCACTTGGAAAAAAGATCGGACAGTAACACAAGGGACAGCAAATTCCCCTATGTGATTTAACAGCCATCTGGTACACTTATTCAGGGGTGTTCTGGTTAGTAACCACAGCAACAGGTCTGCTGAGTACTCCTAAAAGTTATGCATGTGTCAGCAGCCTTTTCTCTCCTCCCATACACATCATGCACTGGGGACTGTGAGCAGTAGCATGTCCTTCCTGGGCTACAGATGTTTTTGCTGCAGCATTTGCCAGTATTCCATTTTTCAGGAGACTTAAAACTTGGAGAGTTTTGGTTTGGTTTTTTGCAATATGCCTT